TATTGTGAACTTGAAACAAGAAACCTTTCTTGATTACTTGGATTAATAATTTTTCAAAAGCATTTTTTTCATTCTGAGGAAGGAGAAACCACTTTGTATTTCCAGGTAATAATGTAATTGAGGAAGTATGGTCAACTTCGGTAAAAATAGGTAGATGCTTAATGATTTCAATAAGATTCGATATTTCTTTAGTGACAATGCATAAATGATTAGATAAATAATCAACGAGATTAAATGCTTCAGAGGTTCTAACCTATGATCCAAACTTCCTGGATATGAAGTATCAGCTCGAAATGATTTTAGAGCTAATGCAACATTATCAGGCATAATTAGATGCTAAAACATCATATAAACACTTTTACAAATTCAAGTACTTACTTCCTTCATCTATCCATTTCGCAAAATCTACTGTCCACAATAATTGCACCAAATTTTCAAAAATAGATTTTAAAGCATTATTGTTCATTTGATTAGAAAATATGCCTTTATGAGTGTTTAGCTGGGATTAAATGAATGTGATTGAACTTGTCAAATTTACATTTTCTAGATCTTAGATTACTTCAAAAATCACAAATCCATTCGTAATTATCATATAGACGACAGAAAATTCGTCAAGGAGTTCTAGATTCCATTTCTCCGAATACTCGCATAAAGTAAAGCTTAATGCAAATCATAAGGAATTTGTCAATGAGTTGTGATCATCATTTATATGATTCTTCAAGGAGGTAATCTTTTGGGTAAATATAAATGTAAAATTGCCACATATTGTTAAAGTCCCAAATGTACTATCTGAAAGCAGAATCATTTAAAAACCTTCCAATTCGTCAAATTGTTTGTCCTTTAAAATATACCCAAATAATTTTAAGATCTCATCTCTTGAGATTGTTTCTGTGTCTTGCCATCTGTTATGATTATTATTTAGATAAGTACGAATAATGGCAAAAGAAGAAAATCTCCATGATTAGATTCTTTTAAGGCCATCAGAATTGGATGAAGCGTTGCTATCACAGGAAATCCAGTCTTTTTTAATTATACTAGTCAATGTAAAATCAATCAACTATTGGAAAGTGATAACCAATGAAATTCGGATTCATGATATTGGGCATCATCTATAACAACAAATACTGTTCTGATAGCAATCGTTGATGAAGGTCCTTTATTCAATCCTAAGGTTATTAATTACATTTTGTAATAGATTTTTGTAAAAAGCACTTAAGCTATATGATGCTTCTTTAATGATCGGCCAAGTGGAATGTTGGGAATTGTAAGCAGAATTTTACGAAGGAATCTCACCCAAGCTTTCGGTAGGACATTTTCCAATAAATAATTGTTCTATGAAACTTTCAGTCGTGCTAATGACTCGGCCGTCTATAATTTGAAATTTGGAATTCATTAGTTAAAATACTACTTTATTACACTTAAAAAAAACAATAAGATAATAGAAGTCAGGGTATTCACCAGTTCTTTGTTTTCTGCGACTGCCCATAAAGAGCGTCGATTGGTACATAACCTTTTATACCAAATAAAAAGTTGTAAACGTTAAAAAAAAGAAACAAAGTATCAAAGTTCTTTAATTCATACCGCGAAATATCCATGCACTGAAACGGAAAAGGCGTACAAATGGGAAGAGGTAAAAAACAATATAAACTAACGTTAGGGATAAACTTGTGGTCACTAATGCTTCTTTTGAACGCATTTTGAAAATATTTTTCGGTTTCGAGCAAGTCATCAAGATAATGCAATATTAACTATGAAGTATTCTCTTTAGAATCTCTTTTGTTGTAATATAAGTCGTTTCTAACAGATTATTTCCTTTAAGTTCACCTGAATTTAATAAATTCATCATTGGTCCAATATTTTTTGCTGTCAACTGACGCTTTTCTTGAATTGTATATAGTATTTCAGGTTCGGTAGCACCATTTTTAATTCATAAAAAGAAATGCGTTCAATACATTTTATGAACAATAAGCTTTCATGCTCGTAAAATTTATCAAACATTTCCAAGATTGCGACAGGTTTATATATTCTGTCAGAAATCCGAGTCAGTAGAATCTAACTACAGAGTGGATAACGAAACAAAGTTCCGATTAGGGTAATCTTTAAACATTCTCTCATCGACGTCAATTATGACGTCGCCACCTGGAAAATACCGTTCATGTGGATCGAGAATTACATATTTTTCACCAGTAATGAAAGAAGTGGAATTGGTAATGTGGGAACAGAGCTATAAAAATGCGTTTAAAAAAAGTAAAACATGAGTAGTGAGAAATCAAGCTTCTTAGACAATATTTGGTGATACAGAGATAAGATAAAAATGAGCAAAATATCAATATTAAAACTATCGTTACATCACATTTATCGAATATAATAACCTAAAAGGAATAATATGAGGTACATTTGTATAATTTATGAATCAACCCCAATGTTGTGTCGGAGATTTTAAGATTTCTACAGAACATTATTGGCCCGAAAAACCGAAGCATCATTGGAATCCATTGATTATCCGGCATCCTTCATGTGGGGTATGAAGTTGATAGCGATGCGCCCCATGAAGGTTCTTTAAGTGGTATCATTTGGGACTGGTACTAATATCTAATATCGTTAACCTAGACGGCTTAAAGTTTTGTTTCATAAAATAAAAAATGAATTTCAACTTTATTTTATTTGCCATATTCTTTAATTATCATAAAATAATAAATTTATATATTAAAAAGATATTTTTTATTTTATAAAATCAAAGAAGCAAGTCATGAACAACATCCTAAGCCTTTATTTTTTACGGTTACAGATTACATAAAATTCTACGTTATGGAAAAGTATTTTTAGTCTATACATATTATTATTGTTCTTTTTAAAATAAATTGACCATTTCTTTCAAATTTTGTTATATTATTATTTTTTGTATTTATCTTTTCTTTTTCTAATCGATTACACTAATTATTATAGATTGTACTGTACAATATACAATATTTTAAGGATATAGAATAAAAAGTACTGGTTTTTATCAGCATATTGCACGACCTTCTGAATCTTCGTTATTTACAAAACCACCATAAAAATAAACTTTTATATTACAGAAATAGAATTAAATCTTATTAAATTTAAGTTTTTAGCCTTTGTTCGAATCAATACTCAATTTACTCAATTACTTTGCGCTCAATAATATTTTAAGAATAAAATTTATGTTTTTAATTTTACAACTAAACTTAATATAAAATGCTTAATATATTAAAACGTATATATTCCTTTTCACCTGTCATGAATATTCTTTTTTGTGACAATACAATGAAAATGAAACGAAATAAAAACTGCAAATTGTAAATACCAAACGCAACGTTTTATGATAAACAGTATCGCATTATTTTTTCCACTATATACTGCACAACATATCTTTTTTTAGAAGTCTTAAGTTGAAAATTTTAGAACTTTAAAGCTCGCTGACACGTTTAATATTACGCATTAATAATGATGGAAAAAGAATGGAGTCTATTCCATATGAATTTATGAAATATAGGCTCGATATGAACTTATTTTTTTCGAGATCGGCGAAAGAAAAAAAAACCAATTAACAAAAAAAAAATATTAAAAAGTCTTACAACAACAGATCGAATGACATTTTGTCAAGGATTCGGAAAACTAAATTAGAATAATTAATAATCAAAAAAGTTAAAAAAAAGTTTAGAGATCATACAATCATATACTGGATTCATTTATCATTGCAGCCCAAAGTTATCAAAAGCGAAAAAATAAAATCCACCCAAAACCAAATTCCAAATTGCGTTCAGAAACGACCAATCTTGCATTAAATAAAAAATAAAAACTTATATCGCGTCAACGATTCAATCTGTAAAAGGTAAGAATTGTTAAATGGAGCAAGATCTTTTAAAATGATTGCCAAAACGATCGCATGATCATATCTAGTAGTTAAGGAAAAATAACAACGGAAACAGTATTTTTATCTTTAAAAAAAAAACACTTCCACTATAGGCACTTACCCCGATTTATAGAATTGAAAACCTCCGGAACCTCCCCTGATCTTAGGATTAAAGACCTTATATAAAAATAAAAAGTTAGCATTTAGTTATTTTCTCAATTTAAGACTCCTCCTATAAAAAATTGCCTCCGATTTATCAAAAAAGGAAGCATTTGACTTTTTTTAAAAAAAAAAAGGAAGAACTTTCTATTTTCTGGTATATTTGGAGGGTGTGCGATGGGATTATTGTGTAAGAGAGAGTAGGAAAAGATTCGTTTTTATCAGATGAACCAGTTACCTCGATATTTGATTGCGCACAATAGATTTCTATCATTTCTGGTTATTGTGCTTGTGTTGATAAATAGTCATTGTCCAATTCGTAATGTCGATCAGTAAGACCGATCACTAAATAATTTAGATACTAATAGTTGCAAATTAATAAAGATCAAAAAAAATTAATTTTATTTACACACGCGCGCAACTGTTATTAAAGCATGTGACATCTCAAAATTACTTCGTTTTAGAAAATCATTGGCCGCTATGCACATTTAGTTATACTTTCAACTTCGCAATTATACTTTATTGACTATACATTTAATAATATTTTTTTATATACAATAATTTAATAGTAAGTAGTATAATATATTTTTTTATAAGCTTTTTTTATATATAATAACAAGAAATAGTTTAAATAATTCTCTTCGTGATACTCCACGGCCAAAGTCTAACAATCAGAGTGATTTTACATTTCGAGATTTATCCATTTGGGTGGTGCCAGGAGACATATTTTATTGTCACGTGATAAATCTAAAGAATATGAAGTGGGAAATATGCCAATTTGATATTTGTTACATTTATTTAATAGTTAGATACTTCCAAATATTTTCATATTTTCATATTATTTGTTAGTAAATTTATTTTGTATATATTGTATTATTCTCCGGTTGGAGCATCTCTAGTCTAGGAGAAGGAGATTAATATTTTCTAATATTATTATCATAATTCGTTTCGTTTAATAAATATGACTTATTTCGGTATTAAGGTTAAGTTGAGTTGAACGATTGACAAGCATAAAAATCTTTTTATAAATAAGCATAAATTAAATGTTGCCTGAAATTCTCATGATTTCATGTTTCCTTTTTTGATACCATTTATAACTAAAAATTCCAGTCGTTAGAAAAATAGCGACGCAGGCAATTCCACTTATAATAACTATTATGACTTTCACTTCTTTACTTATTTGATTTTCTGAAATATTTTTAGGCATTGCAGTAGTTGAAGAATTTGATAGTGTATCATTTAATTGTGTAGGTGCGGGTTCAAATTTATCAACCCAAGTATAGTCTCTAGTTTCTAACAAATAAATTCTTGAATTTAATGCTGATGGAGAAGCGTTCATTTGAGTGATATTTCCTGTAATAAAATATGGTTAATACTTAAAATTAGAAAATCAAATCAAAAAAATTAAAAAATATGTAAATAATTACTTACCAAAAGCAACAATCATGTAAATTCCAAATAAATTTGCTGTATGAGCTGTGAGCAATGGAACATTACCAATTTTTGGTACCTGCGGGACAATCCATTCGAATGGAGATGTTTGAGTATTTAAAACTATCAAATCTGGAGAAACTTTGACATCATTCACTCCAACAATATCTTTTGCTCCTCCATAAATTATGATTCTTCCACCAGATACTTAAAATATAAAAACATATCAATTATATAATTAAATCTATTTTAAACACAATATATGTTTATTTTCCAAATAAAGGTATACCTATTCCTAGTACAGCCGAGTGTAAAAAGCGAGACTCAACTCAATTTGATCGTTACTTTCCGTATGCTTATATTAAAAAAAATTTATAAATTTAAATTTCACAAAGATGTTTATAACTATTTTTTACTTACCACTTCTAACCAAGATGATAACTTGGTATCATAAAGATTAAGTTTATTAATATCTATTATTGTATTGGTATCCATGGAACGTTCACGACCTCCAATATATACAATAACACCATTTGATAATAACGATGCAGTATTACCAGCTCGTGGCAAGGGAATATTGATATCAGGACCATACGACCATGTTAAATCATTAGTATTTGATATTGACATATTTTTATAATATTGAACGATAATTGATCCCATTCTTTCATCGGAAAGTCCTCCAGAAACATAAATATTTCCAAAAATATCTGTAACAACATTAAAGTCTCTACGCATTTCTGGAATATTTCCTTTCATTACAGGTATATTCCATTGTCCTGATTTTAAATTAAATACATATACCAGCGATTTAAATGAAACATAATTATCTTGATTATCATTAATCCTCCGATTAGGTATATGGAAGGATTATTTTCATTATTAGTTAATGCAGTAGCTCCCCAACAACTTTTAAATGCTATTTCTGAATTTAATGTAAGGTCGGTCCATTGTAGATTCTCTACATTAAATCGTTGAGATAAATCAAGATAGAACACTTCATTTGAACAATCTATATTACTTTGTCCGCCAAAAAAATATAATTTATTTTCATCAAGGATAGTGGAATGACCCATACGTCCTAAAGGAGTAAATGGCTCAACTCTAAAGAATAAATAGCTTAAAATAAAGAATATCAACTATATTCCTTGCAAGTCACAATATTAATTAAGTTAAATTATTAAAATTATAAGTATTAAGAATTATAAAAATAAACCAACCTTTTATTCGTTTGATGTAACGACCACGCAAATCTTTTTATATTATATTAAATGCGGAGGTCCGAAGCGACAATTTTGATTTTGATGATATTTTATCATCAAGCTAACCAATTCAGTGCGTAAGTTTTTCATTTGTTTGGGACACAGTAATTAAATGGCATGATCGTGCATACACATTGCCTTGTCCTCCATTACGCTTAGGACAATAAATCTAAACTAAATCAGTTGATAAAATCTTAAGAACAATATGCGAGGATGTATTTATATACATCACAACATCCCGCGGCAATTCATAAATTGGATTTTAATATTAGCTCTGTGTACTTTGATGGACAATTATTCCTGCAATATTATCCAATCCTCCTCAAAATTATCCGTGTTTATTTAAATTACTCTTAACGTTTTCAAATGCTGAGTTAAAAGAACTTCAGATTCACGTTCCGGAACAATAATAAAGTATAAGATGAGGCTCTCCGCTATTTATATTTAATCTATTCAAGGTCTTAATAATGTTGTAATTAGATCAAAAAAAATAAATAAAGTTTTCAATAAAGTAAATTCAGTAATTTGAAACCAAATTAGATTTTTTTTTTTTGAAGTTGTGATGATTCAGTGCATTATTGAGAGGCGCAGTTTAATCTAAAATGACGCTTAAATTCAAAAATCAAGTAATTTTGATAATTAAGACAGCAGCTTTTTTTTTTTTAAAAAAAAAAATATTAATAATAATAATGAAAAAAAATGAGCGTGTGCCAGGCAAAGAATTTTTTTTTTAAAAAAAAAAATAAGAAACCTAGATAGATGTTTTCAACTTATTTTAAAAAAATCCAAATGAAAAAAAGTTAGGCTGAAAATTTTCTACATAATCGCTCAAATACATTTACAACACTGACTGGCGAGACTCAAATGGAGGTATCGATTTGTTCGAAAATCAATATATACCAATTGAAAGCGTTTGGAAATGACCTTGAAATAACCTTTAAATGACCTCAATGACATCAAATGACATCATTTTTTATTAACAATTTCAAGTCAAAATGACAAAGGTCATAGTAAATGACCTTATTATAATTTTCATCACTGCTAATAGATGCAGTAATGATTAAACTTTCGATATTAACATTTCTTCGTCATAATCCGAGGTTAAATAGCTGTTGCATTAAATGAAACCGTTGAAAAATAATATAACGGCAGTACAGTATTTATTTGGTAATGAATTTTTTAAAAAAATTTACATACATATATATTAAAAATAAAAAATGAGATTTTCAAAATATAAATGAGGGTATTTTTTTTTTAATTTCTTGGTATAACTTTAACTAACAATTCAGGACTAGCTATTAAACCGGAAGAAATGGTCTTTAAAGGGGAAAGCTTATCTACCAAATCAATATCATACTTCCTATACAACAAGGCCATCAAACAAATCATTTCAATCATTGCCAACTTTCTTCCCGGACAGATCCTTAATCCTCCACCAAACATTACAAAAGAAAATTTCTTTGGTTTGAAATCTTTAACCATCCATCTATCAGGGTTAAATTTTTCAGGTTCTTCCCAATAATTTTTATTTTTATGAATAGAAGCAGTATTTACATGAAACAATGTTCCAGCTGGCCACTTATAACCCGCTATTTCATCAGGTTCTTGACTAAATCTTGCCACTGTATTAACGACTGGAAGTATACGATCTACTTCTTTAATAATCGCTTCACAGTATTTGAGTTTTTCGTAATCGTCTTCAGTGATTGAACGCGTTTTATCACCTTGGAATACAATATCAATTTCTTCAAACATCTTCCTTTTAACGTCTGGATTACTTGCGATATGATAGATGATGAATGAAAGCAAATTCGCGGTCTAAATATGAAAATAATTAAATGAACGCGATCACGTTAATAAAAATATTTTTAAAAAATCATACATATTTGGAAAATGTTCATTACTTTGATGGTTCCACCAAGAAATGTGTCAAACATAATATTACGAATTTCAAGGCCAGTCATAGGTAAGTTCATGACTTCACCCTCGACAGTTTCAACATGATTAATGTCCCGAAAGTATTCGCAGCGATCAACGAGGTCAACATATCATGTGATAAAGGCTTTTCCAGTGATGTATTTTCAATTTCTTGTCTGCGTCTTTGAATAATCAATTCTAATTTTTGATAGATAAATTCAATGTTTCTAAGTAAAGCGTCTGACTTACTCTTAAAAAATGGAACGTAATGCCTGAAGAAAGGAGGAATAAACATAAATATTGGTGCTCCTAAAATTTGTTTATGAAAAGCTTGAACGAATTTTCCGATTCCTCGACTAACGATTGAGGATGTACGGCTCTTTCATCACTTTGAGTATTAAAATATGATGCCATTTTATAAGATCTTTCACCAGTTGTTAACGCGATGATCATATCATTTGTATATCGATTTAACCATGCAGAGCAATCCAATTTATTTTGATCATCTTTAATCTTTTCTTCATTTAGATATAACTTGTTCCAATAGCTTTCCATTTCATTGAAAAGTTCATTCATCCAATCAATAGTTTTTTTAGTAAATTTCGGTGCCAAAATAGCTTGAGTAAAGAAGTGACGGTTGTAACTCCATGATCTCAAATTATGATTGGCCAGTAAACCTCTTCCCATCATTCCTAATTCATCTATTCCTTGGGTGTAGGGAAATCTCATCGTATATTGACTCTTTATTGATGACGACAAAAGTTTTTCAACATATTCTGTTCGGCCAGTGGTCGTCCTGTAGCTAAGTTGATTGCCCAAATAAGAAAGTACCCGTGTTTTATTTTCATGTTTTTTCTATGAAGGGCTCATTTTTACAGACGCCTATGAGGCGAAGTCCTTTTCAAAAGTCTGGGATTAAACCCCAGATTATTTTTGGTTAAAAATTCGGATGATTCGATCCGGGTAAGAAACATTTGGATGACCTTAGTTTTCCTCGGATGATCTTTAAATAATCCGGTGTTGAATGCCGGACTTTTGAACAGGATGGTGGATCAATTCCTTATTAAATTTCCCCAGGGGTTATGACATTTATTTGAATAGTTTTTTTTATATAAATCTTTTAGTTATTTATTTTTGATCATCGATTCTTACATTTCCAGATTATAAAAAATACTGCGCACTTGAACGCGAAAGATAATTTTTTTAAGAAAATTTTGATTTATTATAAATAATAAAATAATAAATTCAATAAAGCGATCATCAAAAGAAAATTTTTAATTGCTATAAACAGTATTATATCTATAGAGGTGATATACCACCCTCATGAAAATTAAGGAATTAATCCATGGATTAATTTATAATTCAACCCCGGATGATCGCAAAAGATCCAGAGGAAACAGAGATCATCCGACATTTTTTAGGGATCATCTGGGGTTTTAGCCAAAAAATAATTGACGGCGCCTCATAGAAGCCAAAATGTACAGATCATCATTTAAGTCGATCGCTAACCACACAATACATTCGAGTATTACCTAAAAATTCTTAACCGGTTCTAACCTGTTGAATATCATTTTTCATTATCTCAATCATTGTGATGTTATACGACTTTAGTCATATGATTAGATAATTTGTCGGTTACAAATCATTAGCTATTACTTGATTAGGAAATCACAAAAAAAAAGTAATTCATAGATTCAATGAATATTTCAGCAACCCACAAACATTCTAATTGTTCGTCTATCATGAAATCGGGAAGATCCATTAAATATTGGGAGTGGACAAATGCCATTACTGTCAATGTGATTTTCTTTGCGAACAATTTAATTTAAATTTTGTAAAATATTAATAAAGTATACTTTAAAAAAATATATACATGTATATATATATTTATTCCTTTTATTTTGGACTAAGCAAATTTCTTTTTTGGAAGTATTATTTATAACGACATTATGTGACTTTATTATCTGAATAAAATTCGCAGGTTACGGATTTTTTGTATTTTGTCAATAACAAAAAGAATAAAAATAATTACAATCATTCAACAATGAGTAAAAAAAAACAAATGAATTTACTAATATGGTTTTTTTGATTAAATATTTTGGATTAAAGAACATACGCCCTCCTGCATTCTATTAAACAATAGAAAGGGTGGAAACTGAGGTGCTTAATTGTAAGATGATTTTAAATAAATATATTTCCATAATTAGATGAATTCAAAAAAAATTTTTATAGGTAAAGCTAAAATTCGATCTCATCAAATCTTTATAAATACTGTAGCTTTGGTCTCAAATTTTTATTTTTTTTTTCACAAGAACGAAAAGAAAAAAAAATATATTTTAAGCATTTAAACGAAAACAAATTCACCAACTACTCTTTTACAATGTTGTGGACAAAACTTACTACGTTATTAGCCGCTACCGTTGCATTCTTTAGTGCTACAGTGCCATCAGTTAACGCGAAGCCAGTTAATTATGTGAACATAACTTTTGGCAAATCTCCTGAAATTATTAATAAGCGAGATATAAATGACAATAATGGTAAACCACTATTTATGTAAATCGATTTCAAAAAAAAAATTTTTAAATTAATTTTCTTGTTTCGATCATGTAGAATTAGTAGCTAGAGGGAAAGATCGTGGACGTGGTACGGGTACCTTTGGTCGTGGAGGTGGTCAGTATTATTCTTTTATTAAGGAACGTAAATTTTAGTATTTATGGGCTAACTTTATTTTTATTATTTAGGAACTCAATAAATTTAATATATAAAATTTTTATAAATGTAACATAAATCAAATTATAATATAAATTATGAAATAAATTATTAAAAATATAACATGTTCATTAATGAGTTATTTTAAAAAATTTTGAATGATTTTTCTTGTAAAATTAAATTTTTTTACGTTAAATCTTTACCACTGATAATAAAATATTATTTAGGGCCAAGAATCCTTCCTAAGCATTTTTATTTTGTTTTATTGTAAACCATGATGAAGCCAGAATTGTCATCTTAGATATTATATCGAGTAAAAAAAATAATATTTATAAACTTCTGGCGGTGTGCTCTGTTTTTATACGATATAGTAATATTGAAAATTTGATTCTGTTTAAGCGTATATCTTGAAATATTTTTTTTCATATAACGAAATCTGTGTTCCTTTGAAAACCTTTCGTTGTGAAATCACGAGATTGTTTTTGCATCATTGTCTTTTTAATATTTTGTATAACATAAGACTTTAAAATAAGTTACATCTATCGACGCCTTAGATTCTTTGGAATTGATATTCTTTAAGAATTAAGAGAATTTAATGATTGGCTTGACAGTTCTTTTAAAAACCGAACTACAAAATACAAAATATGAAAATCAAGGTATTAATGCCTATGAATGCCTTGGAAGAGTTAACCAATTGACATAGGATTCTATTCGTATACAAATTTCTATAGAAGCCGATATAACTTTATCTGAAAGCAAATATATATATACTTTACTACAATTATTTTCTTCGTTACATCATTACTCCAGTATTCCAATTTTTATTTTTACTTTTTCATTTAAATTTATACTACGATGGTATTACAGTAATTCGATATAGCAACAAAATTGTCAAATGCTTCACAAGAGCCAGTAAGGGCCCATACTAAACCATTTCCACATTTAGATAATTTATCGTATATCTCAAAAAGATTATTTTTCTGTATATTTTAAACTAAATCGTAAAGATAAGAAATTATTTCAAGTTCTTCATTTTACTAGGATAAGGCTTTGTTTTCAGATGAAATAGCATTCCAGTTGTTCTGAAATACAGTAAACAATGGTATTAAAAAGTAAAATATTCTTTTCTCTTTTCTTTCCTTCACAGGTTCCCATACTCTTGAAAATTTACCAAGTCGTCAAGTCCTATTATTAATTTTATTTGGAGCGTACTAATTGCTCACAAATTGACTTTTAGTTTTTGACGTAACCTTTGTTGAAATTCAACGACACTTATCCGAAGTTCGACAAATGCTGGGACAAGTTATGCCTCTACCAGTAAGAAAACGATCCCACACTAGTCTTATATCAAGTGGAATTCCTTCAAGCCAATGATTGACTGGTCGTCCAATAGTCCTGACTTTTACACTTGGGGAATCTATTAAGTATCGTCAATATAAATGTTATTGAGACAGCGACCGAACTAATCTTTGCGATTGAAACATTAAAGAGAGCTAAATCAGATTCTAATATAATAAATACGTTAAGATCGAAGAGAAGCAGTTATTGAAGTAATAAATTTTTATGTATCACAAAAAACTATAATTAAGCGCAGGTATTACCACAATTAAATTTCGATAGAAGAACGAAACTATATGAATTTTTTTTTTTTTTTTTAGCTTTTTAAGTTCAATTTTAAAGAGTTTTTTTTTACATTTATACACGAAATCGGTTGAAATGTTATGCATATAATTAAGCTTTTACTATACTTCCGACATTTCAAATTAAAATCTTCCCTGATACATAAAATAAAAGTTGCAGGTAATCTTAACCTAGCAAGCAAGATAAAACTTGAAGATGCAATTCAATAATAGATTACATGGCTTGAAAATAACCAAGATTGAATGATATTAAACAATGGTCGCTCGAAAAATAGCTGAACCAATAATGAAAAACTTGTCAAAGGCGCCAGGTTTAATCAAGACGTCTTCCCAGTGTAAGTGGAATGCGACAGTCCGGATTGAAGGACAAAAAGTATACCGAGATTATTTATAAATCGAGACCATTATTATTTCAATTCCATTTTTGATCAATATAATTACTTTGTTAGCAAACCGTAATAGATAATGTTACAATAGTTAGCTAATAGTTGCTCATGCGATGTATAAATTATAATTTTAATAAACTGTTGAATTGTTATTAGTAATCACGATTTTATTGTTTGGTCCTCCTGCCAAATTAACTACTGGTCAAAATGACCTCTAGTCAACTTGTTCTCTGGGAAAGTTGTCCTTTCAATTTTTAATGTATAAAAAGTGGGATGATACTTGGATTCGAATAAAACGTTTTTTATCTTTAATAATATAGAAATACCCGATAATTCCCTTAGATAGATTTTATTTAGCCGTTGTTGACCCGAATTTCCTCTCTTTCTAAAGTCAACAAACACTTATTTACTTCTTATTTAGTTCGTCCGATGTATAATTTATATAGTATTTAATTATACGATTCGCTAGAGTATTTAGTTATCGCATCAAAACCTTTATGAAGACACGAAGAAGATTGAAAGGGTAAAATAAACAACTTTATTAATTACGAATTATACAAGCCTTTTCTTTAGACTTATCATCACAAACTAGAATAATCTAATTAAATCTTTGAGAGAAACTTTTACGACTTGCTATTTTCTCTGTTTTTCTCTAGATTTATACAAAATCGTTGTTTCAATTTACTAGCAAACATAATAAATTTAACAAATAAAACTAATATAATAGAAATAATAAAATAAATAATACAAATATAATAAATAAAACAGATAAAAAAAATAAATAAGATATGTAAAACATATTTGATATGCACCGCAGTTACTGCGCCAATCGTAGCATTGACACCGTAGTAATTTCGCAAGATCGACAGTAGTATTTAATGATATAGAGTAACCTAACCGACTACATAAAGAACCATTTATATAGTAAGTAAAATGTTTAAAAATTCGTTTTATTATTATAAAAATATTATTATAAATTATTTTTGAAATCACATGATGAAAATTTATATTATGACTTTAATAATGACCCTCCAAAAAAAGGCGACTTTCCCAAATTTATTTTGAAATATGAACAGCTTTATTATTTAGATGGTAAAACTGTAAAATACCATTTCGACTAAATAAAAATTATTTCATAAATTACGGCCCAGTATATCAACAAGTTTTAATCATTTGGCAGCTTCAGAAAATGATATTTGAAAGCTTTATAAATATACTTACAATTAATATCTCGAACTTTCGTTGTAATCACTATATGTAAGATTTTACTAGAATTAGCTGCATTTTACATTTATTATTATTGGTGCTAACTTTCGAAGCCCTTATATAATATAATATAATATACACTAATTATGGATGAGAAAGAAATTTGTAGAACTCTCCTCTGTCTTCGAAAAATCACTGTGCTTTGTAAATTAGACTTTCTGAAAGCTGATAAAGTGTAATAAAGTTTTTTAAATAATAAATGTTCTGAATCAGATAATCAAACTTATATTAAATGCACTAAAAATTCTTCCGAGCAACCAAATAATGCCATTAAATATGAAATTAAGAGGTAACAAACCATTAGGTGAAAATATGCTTTATAATATATATTTTAAACAAATCATATGTAGGAACACACCACTTTTTATTCCGTCTCCACGAACAATCTTATGAGTTCATATTATAATGTATTATAATTTTTTATATTTTTATAATCAAGATATAACATATAAGACGGCCTTCCAAGAAAACTTGATTGGTAAGTATATATGAACTATTGGAAAAAAAAATAATGGAAATTATTGACAGATTCGAGAATATACCAATAAAGATGTTGAAAGTTTTATCCTAACTGATAAAAAATTAAAATAATGACACCATCTTTGAAAAATGTGTATAGATGTGTGTTGGTATATTGGATGGAATACGTAGTTAAAGAAAATCATTAGATTCGCTAAACGTGACCACGTATTGATTTTCAATTTTCCAAGTTTTATAAAATTGCTTTCTCCAAAAAGACAACAAAGCAAGTGAAATTCAAATACTCATACATGAATATGCTAACAACCAGACTTAATGTATCACATGAATACTGATGTCATAAAATAGGATTAAATTTATAAAAGAATTAGATCATTGCCGTCATTGGTCAATTTGAATATATATCGCTTTTCCCGTACCAATTCCACACATTTGTGAGATAAAATATTCTAGGCGAAATTATGAATTAACTTGCATACTTTTTTACTTGCGCTTCTGCCTTGCCACTATCTCCTTCTGCAGTTTTAATGGTGTCAAACCTTAGAAGAGGATCGGCCTCGTCGATTCATGGACACATGATCTACATAAATAAGTCTGTACTACGGAAGGTCATAGAAATTCCGCGAGATATATAAATTCAGTAAATTCATGTACTTTTCTTTCTAACCGTCTCACAACCATGAACAAAAAGCGGCAACAAAGTCGAAAAACTGTCGAAGCTGAAAGTGAGAGTACTCAACAAGAGACACGAAAAGCTTCAAAAAAACAAAAAATAGTAGTTGAACCAGTTGAACCTACACGACGTTCGGATCGTATTCTCAGACAAGAATCAGATCTTACAAGAGCCACCAATTCCTTAAGAATAAGCTCTGCTTCCGATTCCGAATCCCGTTCCAGCTATGTATTAAAAGATCTCCCTTCTGATGCATCTAAATTTACAGAAGAAGATATAGTGGCACTTAATGCGACCTTCAAACCAGCAGACGAGAATATCATTCCTGATGTTGAAGGTAATAATTATGAAAATAATCTCAGCGAACCTATACTTATAATTTTAAAATATTTTCTAGCCACGGACCTTCCGAGTCAATACCTTCTCCCAGAAATCGGTCGTGATGTTCTCGAAAAGAAAAATTTTGATGTTTGCAAGCTTAATACTACAGATAAATATGTAAAGCAGTTTTTTTGGTCTCTAAACAGAGTTGTCGTGAATTCAGGTCTTGATATAGGCACGTCAGAATCTAAGACCGATTCATTAGTAAACCATCTATTAACTCGCGCACTTGGATTCGATGGATGGCCATTTGGCGTTAGGTAAATTATAAATGCCTTTTTATTGCTATGACTAATTAATTCTTAAGTTCATCATCATACTTTAAACTTAGAATCAAAGAATACTACAAGCTGACCATTGATGATAAGAAAGTGTCTGCAAATCCTGATTTTGTAGTGGATATGAGTGGAATTACTATTTTAGTAACAGAGGTTCGTTTTGATCACTTGAAAATCCTACATTTTCTTCAAATTTTGATATCTCAAAACCTTTTAACAGGATAAACATTTGAAAAATGTTTTGGTTCCTGACTATGGGGAAGCACAAATACTTGCTGAGATACTCGCTTGTGGATGGGAACATTTGCAGCAATCTGGGAAATATATGGATCAGATTATTTATGCAATCCGTGTCATCTCTTCATATGTGACATTTTACAAAGCTGTGATTCCTAAAGCGTATTGGAAAGAACTCAGGAGAGGCTTACCGCAAAAGCAATCAATTAATATCTTAAGATGGCCGGGGGAAAATACAAAAGAATCTGGTCTAGATTTAGCAGTAGCTGACGATAGGGATATAATTTTCGAAGCAATGACTAAACTTCGTGAATATTTTCTTTCATCCGACTCCTCTACTACCGCTTCCACTTCAACTACTAGAGACACAGCACCTGCGGAACAGAGTAGCAAGACAAAAAACCTCTGAAATAAATACAAAGAAGCTTATCTAATCAATAAATATATAAGAAGAATAATTTGTCTATAATATCATTGATATTTTTTATATCTCAAAACTGCATGTAATATTTTTTGATTAATAAATCACATAAACGTAATTGAAGTTTCGTGTTTATTCAATGAGACCCAATTCTCGAAGATGTTCTGGAATAACTATATATGGGCCTTCGTAATACAAAATATACCTCAAGTTAATCTGATATTCATCGCATACTTGCTGTTTGATAACATGATTAGGATCGCCTCTATGAAAAAATACTAAATATTGTACTTCGATTGCAAAGCCATATTCTGGATAATAAATATCAAGTTCTAATCCTTTAGAGTGTTCAGGAATTTTTAAGAAATCTTGTCTGCGATTTTCAGATGGTAAACCAAGATACATTGTTATAATTTTCTCGACATAATTGATCGCGTTTATATTTATGGACACCAGGTACCACTTTTCTCATAACCAAGAAATGCTTTCCATATTGACCTGCTTTGTAATACCATAATAATGGCAATTGATTACTTTTATACTTGGTTGAAAGACATTGCCCATGTCTAGAAATGTAATTTGCTTCGCATCCTCAAGAGTTAATTTATACTACATGCGCAATATGGACACTAACTTGCTTGTTGAATACTATTGGGAATGGCTTCCCATCTATGATTATTTTCACAATCCATTCTATTTTTGTGAATCATAATAAAGCTTCAAATTTTAACAAATAGACTTCGTGTTTAGGACGCGAAAATATTATACTTCATGCTCTCAATGATCGAGAACAAAAGTCCTTGACATCATATTAGTAGCTGGATCGGCATATCAACTTATTTCTTCTGGTGTAATATTGGAAAGACAAATTTAGCAAAGCACACATATAAGTGATATTGCGTGTGTGTGCTTGTACTCAAGATAGTAAGATAATGTGTAGGAAAATCTGTCGCAAAAACTGTACTGTTGGTCTGGAAGCACTTTCGAGAATCTCACGAAATACTCACCTTTATTATATCTATTATATCAAATTAAACTAATGCTATCAGTTGTTGGAGTCGAAATCGACGACTGAGTCAACGCTAAATTGACTGGCCCAATTTTGTAAAAATGTTAGAACATCAATTTAATTAAATAGGATTCTATCAACTTTAAATCTGGCCAAAACTCATAAGTCCAAGTGCAGATTCAATTCCGGTTAAAAGATATGCAGTATATTCATATATATTTAAATAAATTTTAAATAAAATTTTTGTTAAATATCAACATACTTGGTTGCCAATTTCAACGTGACTCAGTCAACGGCTGATTCAAGTGGAATAAGTCTGTCTAAAGACCGACTACCACTAAATTATACTATACATTGTGCTGTTAATATCAGCAAGCAAATAGAAGATAATTATTTAATAAATTTATAAACCAAAAATTATTAAAGAACCGAAAAATGATTATTAAAAAAAAAATTATAATCTTTAATTAATTCTAAAAATTATTATTTATATGATTATTTTTATAATAAACGACTCTACTAAATAAATACTTTGTGGCGTAATCTAACCCAATAAATAAATATTTTTTGTCCAGATATTTCGATATAGCATAAATTATTATCTATAAATTTAAGATCCGTTTAATAAAATATATAATTCAAATAATTTTTTTGTTTTTTAGATGAAATTTTTGAAGTTTCGATGCGATGTAACGTCTCAATAATCCATTTTGATTTATGTATTTTAATGATCTCAAATTTTTCTACTATGTTTATAACTAATTTTTAACTGTATTCATCATTCAAACACCCAAGTCGAACGATATTTTGACTTCATAATAATTCTCAACCGTGTCGGTTCTCTGATAACTGCGATTAATAGATCTTTTTTTATATCGTCATCGAAAACGGTAAAAGTTTATTCCAGAGTTTAATTTTCAAAATTATTACCATGAATTATATCTATATAAAAAGTTTGATAAAAAAAAAAAATAAAAAAATATAAGAAATTAAATACAAAATTACAGTTTTATCTTGCTGCAAATTGTATTAAAAGAGAAAATATAAATACAAATTCAGTTTTATCTTGCTGAATTGTACATATATAAAAAACTTGTTGAAAAAAAATATAAGAAATTAAATACAAAATTACAGTTTTATTTCACTGCAAATTGTATTAAAATACAAATTCAGTTTTATCTCGCTGAATTATACATATATAAAAAACTTGTTGAAAAAAAATATAAGAAATTAAATACAAAATTACAGTTTTTCTCACTGTAAATTGTATTAAAAAAGGAAATATAAATACAAAATCAGTTTTATCTCACTTAATTATACCTATATATTTAAATTAAAAAAAAATAAAAATAAAAATAATTAATATATTTATAAAAAAATTAATAGTTTCATTAATATTTATTCAATATTAAGAAATTTAATATACTATTATTTTAAAATCTATTGAACAATCTTATTTAATCTTTAATCTCAGAAAGGCTTGCTTCATTTAACCAAAATACTAGAATTTACCTTTCAAAAAAAAATTAAATAAAATAAAAAATAAAAATAAATTAGTGTATTTATGAAAAAATTGACAGTTTCGTGAATATTTATTGAAATACTAATGAAATTTGATACACAATTATTTCAATACCTACTGAACTAGAGGTTAGAACTGGATTTATTAATCCAGTTTTAAATTCAGTTTAAACCGATTCTTTGCTAATCCGGGTTATAATTTTAATAAAACTGCAAACCGGTTTGCTATTAAACCGGTGTAATAGTGTAAAATTTTGGCTAAAATCTGATTACAAATCCAATGTCAATTAAATGTCCTTGTTTATCATCTCGTCGATCCTGATGTCAATTTTATTTCCCGAGATAATCAATGTGAAACATTGTAGATTCAGATGTCAATTTTATTTCCAGTGTAACGGGCAACTTTATTAACATGATTATCTTTGCTGATCAATTTTGTCAACTTTATTTCCTTGACCATGTCACTTATTTTTCATAGATTTATTAAGTTTAGTTCATTTTATAATTATCAAATATGTATAAATATTACTGTATTTTTATTAAGTTTCGATACCTTACAGGTAAAAAACTTACAATTTATTATATTATTAATAAAGAGTATAATTAACCAAGTTAAAACTTATTCTTCACAACCCTTTAACCTGTGTATATATTATTATTGTTTATTAACTTTGCATGGTATTGTATTGATTCACTTAAGGTGTAGTCACTGAAACGTAATCTCTGAAATATCCAGAAGTTATTCGTGTTTAATTGAGAATAATCTTTGACGTTTACTATGAATCTTCGTTGTGATTCCTGAGTTTAGTCTTAGCATTATTAATTTTTGTGAATTTTATTTGAGTTA